GCAATCATTTTGAAATTTTTATCATTTACTTACTATGCTTCGTTAAGTACTTATACAAAATTTTATTAAAATAAAACCATTTAAACTAGGTGTTCGGATTTATATGTCACTTAGTATATGTTCAATCTGATATACGGAATAAATGACTGTCTGATAATTTCGGTACCTAGGTACTTGTTTTTCTGGAATAACTAAGGTTTGGCAATATCAGATACTTGACATGTTTGAAATCCGAACTAAAAACTCCATTTGTCAGCGCAAAAATCCAATATGGCGTCCGTGAGAAAAAATAAGGTTAATGCTGGAGAGCAGGAGACGAAACGTCATTGAAATTCTAATTACGGCATCTTGTAGAAGGCCATTTAATGTGCAATTTATTTTAAAATGCCACTACAAATAAAATCAGGAAAAAATTAAAACGACTTGGGGAAAATTCGGTTTCTCCGGAAGTACTTTGGAATTCAAAACTTTCTAAGCGGCAAATTAAGAGACTTCGTACCTTCAACAGTTTCCGAGATCTGAATGGTGAAGGTCGAATATGAAGCACTCAGTATGCATTATAATGAGAGAATGGTTCTTAAATTCCTTCCGTCTTTTCTAAAAATCATAATTTCACTTTTTGGTATTAGAACGTGGGAGACATCATTTTTTATACAGTATAAACTATGCAAAAAAATATCTACGAACTTGACTTTGAGAGAAAAATCCTTTTCGGGACTATGTTCGAAACTGAGCAACTCAATAAAAAAAATACTACCAGGCTGTCTGTTCGTCTGCACTCGATGTATGTGCTCTCTAAAGCGTATTAGTCCAGTGAACGTATATATTTTCGTTCGGATGCCATTTTACTTCCAAAATATGATGGTAAACTCCAAAAATAAGGTCTCCCATTGTAATGGTACATAAACCGTTTATTTCCAATAACTGATACAGATATTGAAGCCTCAGCATTGGTTACATAACCTCCATTCCGATCAACTTATTTTGTAGACGCTGCGTCAGTTTTTGTACCGCCATTGTCCATATCATGCCAGCATTGAAGCTCATCTTGCATAATAGTTTAACAGAGGAAAAGGTGGTAATCAATGAGTGCCGAGTCTGGGACGTAGTGTGAGTGAACCACTGCAGAAAAGGCGGACAACAAGTGCGGGTGTGCGTTGCCGTGGGGAATGTTCACGCCCTTGCTCAACGTTCCTCTTCTGAGGATCTGAATCTAAATAGCATTTCCACAGTACCCACTACAACCTGTTCGTTCCCGCGATTGTAGGACGCCTCTATGGCCTCCTTTATTTTCATAGTTTTCTACTTTTTTGTGCCAGCGTTCTATTTTGAGTGTACGTTACAAATATCTATTTGAATTAAATTGTTCATTCTTTTGATTCATATCGCCTGTTATATCAGCCTGAAATTTCCTACAATTCAAAAAGGAACTATAGCCTCTCGATACGAGAGCGCTGGCGCTGACATGGAACAGGAGAAATCTGGAAATACCGCAGCCTTTCTGACGGAGAGAAAAGACAATGAGAATCAAGCGGGCCATAGAGACGTCCTATAATTGTAGGATCGACTGACAATACGGCCCTTAAGGCATCTAACAGCGAGTTTTTTTTTGGAAAAACGCTCAGATCCGTCGATTTTGTTTTCAAGGGGGACACAACTTTGGCAAAAAATCACGTTAGCACGTGCAGCCCCCTAATCAGGGGTGACACCACCAGCAAAATCATAAATGGAAAGGGGGTCGAGTGATACCTTATTTTAAAGGTCTTTCAATTCCCTTTATAATGATGTGAAACACATGAGCCTTAGTTTAGTAGTTTTGAGGATTTATTGATTTAAAGCTTAAAGTAGAATTTAATAGGTACATCAGATTAGATTGTACTACCTTCGGAAGAAATTTGACTAAAAGAATTTACTTAATAAGTAAATGCTTTTCTTCACTACGCCCATGGTTTGTTTTAGCGTTTGTTCTGTGGCAAAAAAGTTATTTCTTGAAGAAAGATAAGGAAATATCTCGTACTTATTTTAAATAGGTATTTAGTACATAGTTTGCGATTGATTTGACCAAAGTTTGTTGCTAAAATAACTTGTAACGCTTTATTACATAAGTATAGTCCACACACAGCAGAAATAGTTGAAATTATCGAAACATTTTTCGGAAATAACAGGCGTTTCCAGATCGATGGATTGGTAGAAGAGGTGGCATTGAATGGCCCCCAAGATCGCGAGATTTATCACCTATGGATTTCTTTATGTAGGGTCATTTAAGAAGCAAAATTTATGCTACTCAGCTAACATCATTAGAAGACCTGCGACAAAGAATTGTGAATGAGTGCCTTCAAATTACTTCTCAAATATTGCAAAATGTGTGGCAACGTTTTGAGCAACATCTTTATTATTGCATGAAGAGTCATGGTGGCCATTGTCAACATTTACTTGCATAACGGGTCAGTTCATTCTTCCTTTTTAAATTACTTTGCTGCCAAATGTTAGTTTTATTATATAAAAGTCCTGGGTTCGATGGTATTAAAAGCGAGCATTTGAAAATTATAGCCGAGGACATAACAGAACCACTCACTTACCTAATCAACAAATGCTTTGAATCTGGCATATATCCCTCAATTTTAAAAAAAGGTAATATAATACCGATACATAAATCAGGAACAAAAACAGATATATAGACCAATATCAATAATATCCAGTGTAGCAAAGGTTTTTGAAAAAGTTTTATCTACTAGAATGATTCGATACCTCACAAAATTAAAAATTTTAAGTGGAAATCAATATGGATTTACAGAAGGGAAGGCTACATCGGACGCAATAACTGAAATTGTAAATCAAATACATCAAAATATTGATAACAGAATCCCTTCAATCTGCATTTTTGTTGATTTAAAGAAAGCTTTCGACACAGTTAATCACAAATTATTATTAGAAGCATTGGAGAGAATTGGTTTCAGAGGAAACGCGTACTCACTGATCGAAAGTTATTTGTCAAATCGCCCACAATCCGTGCAGATATCAGGATCATTTAGTAAAGAAATGTATATTAAGTGTGGTGTCCCACAAGGAACTGTCTTAGGTCCGGTGTTATTCAATATATATTTAAATGATATTTTCCAAATTAATTGTGTTGGCAAAATAACTAGTTTTGCAGATGATACTGCAGTATTATATGAAGGCACTGACTGGTCTGATCTGAAAAATGTAATTGAAAATGATTTTATCAAAATTATTCGGTGGTTAAACAGTCGAAAATTAAGCATTAACTATTCTAAAACACATTTTTTACCATTTGGATCTTATGCTAGACATCTGCCAAATTACACAAATTTCTCCTTCAATATTAATGATCAAAAAATGCAAATTAATAGAGTGCCCAACATAAAATACCTTGGAGTGGTCTTGGATCCTCACTTACGATGGGACATCCATGTCAATTATATTTTAAAGAAAGTTAGATTTGTATCCTATAAAATTAAATACCTTGGGAATATATTGACAGAAAAATATCTTCGAACATTATACCATGCACTGATTGAGCCTCATCTCACATATGGTATATTAGCATGGGGAGCTGCATGTTCCTCACATATCTATAAATTAGATGTTTTTCAAAAAAGTATTCTAAAAATGATATTTAAAAAACCGAAACTTTATCCCACTGAAAAATTATACGCAGATGTTTGAATGTATGATATAAGACAGCTTTATTTCTTACACAGTATCACTCGCTACCATAAATTTGTAAACACCGACCAAAAAATTAAACATAATCATTATACCAGGTACAAAATTCGTGGTACAGTAGTTCCTCAACCGCATAAATCTATAATGCATATCTCTATTTAGCGCCTAAATTTTTTTAAATAATACCTAAAGACTTAAAAGATTTACGTTTCGGAAATTGTTTCAAAAGAAATTTGAAAAAGTGGCTACATTCTATATATATAGGACTGAAATTCATAAACTCATAAATACGAACATCAACTAAATACATAATCTACTGTAGCTAATTTTTATCCTTTTTTGTCATTTGCATTCTACAGTTTCAACTTAAATTATTGGTCCATGTACAGGCGATGCATTCTATTGGGCCTGTTTTGATTTTATATTTGTTTACTCATATTGTTTGTTATCTTTGTACATTGAGTGAATAGATATTATTATTATTATTAAAGCTTTAAATTAATAAATCTTCAAAACTACTGAATTCAAGTACATTAATTTTATATAATTATAGAGGGAATTGAAATACCTTTAAAATAAGGTATCACTCGACCCCCCTTTCTACTTAAGATTTTGAGGGTGGTATCACCCCCGCTTAGGGGGCTGCACGTGCTAACGTGACTTTTTGCCAAACTTGCGTCCCACTTGAACACAAAATCGACGGGTCCGAGCGTTCTTCAAAAAAAAAAAAACTGAACTGCCAGTAAATGCGTCTGTTTCGTTTTCGATGCGCCACCCCACTCTTATAACTTAAACTCGAGCTTTCGATGGTCTATGCCATCATCGTCTGGAGCTGGAAACAATTTTTGCAAAATAGCAACAATAAACAATTAGGAGGAAAAAGTGTTTTTAAAAAAGTTAAAAAAAACATAGCCATTGTATAAACTGCAACAGGGTCTACAAAGATGTTCAGGTTTTATTATAATATATCAGTTATTGAGAATGAATGGAATTTATACATACAGCGTGCCCCAAATGGAAAGTATTTTTTTGAGCAAACTGTTAAAGATCAAAAACCAAACCAAACCTTGTTATATTTCTAGTGCATACTTTAAAATTATTTTAGTATGCGTATCGTGTTGTTCCATAGCAAACATCTTTTTTTTTATAGAATGTCATTCATTTTACTGCATATTTAGATAGATCTTCTAAAAGCAAGATGTTTGATGTCATATAACATACAGTTTCAATTGCTGATTGCTCAGATATTCAGTGAAATGAAAAAATATCCAACTTTGACAGCTCGCAGCTCCCCAATTTTTGAATATACCTAGATGGGCAGCAGCGGTGGCCGCAGTAGTAGACTCTTCGGTCTCCCGATCAGTCGCCATGCGCTGTGCGGGTTCGAGTCCCGTCACAGGAGAAATTTTTATCTTGGCTATGCACGTTGTGATTGTCCGTAGGTGGTAGATGGTCGCTGACTGTCGAACGCGGAGGTACCACCCGGCGGATCTCGTAGGCGGAGCCAGAATGTGTGCATGTTGCATGCACACGTGTTCCCACGCCAGAGTCCGTGTATTCCTCTATAGCCCCACGGTACCAAATGGGTGCTTAGGCCTTAGGCCTTCGTGGTAGTTGGAATATAAAAAAAAGATGAATTCAAGCTCATAAAAATTTTGCCATCATCGATTTTAGTCCGATCCGGAAGAAATGCTAAAATATCATTATACAGGGTATCTCAAAACGCAAAATGTACCTTTTCTCATTAATTTCAAATGGAAACTTTTGCTGCATCACTAAGCAGCTTTACTTTTAAAGTTTTTCTGATATAAGGTTTATTCCACTTTTTTCGAACAGTTTTCGAGTTATTGCTATTGATTCCAAAAAAATAATTCCATATTTAAACTTAAAATCCGATCTTCCATGGAAAATGAAGCCCAGCGGATTTCAGAACCGTATTCAGACCGCTCGCACCCGAATAGTTGGATAGGGAGAGGCGGACCGATCAATTGGACAGCGAGATCCCCCGATCTGACGCCTATCGACTCCTTCCTCTGGGGCCGTGTAGCATAAGCTAATCATTTTAGCGCATACCTAGACAGACCTGGATGTGCAATATAATTTCAACAGGCCTCTGGCCTTGTACGCTTTGCGCCAAGGTAATATATTCGAACAATTTATCAGGTAGCCAAATAAGCTCGTGGGTTTTTTTTATGGAGAATCAATAAGACACTATCTATTCATTAACTTGGCACCAATTTTTGTCTGCCGATATTGTAGAACTACGTGGATTTGGAGTCAAAAATTTTTCGGACCATCACACCATCTCGAGTTGTGAACTGTTGGTGGCTCGTACAATTGTCAAGAGACAAGAAAAGGTGATATTCACTGGGCTAGATGTCAGAAGAATATGGCGGGTCCGGTAACGTTTCCCAGCCGAGTTCAGAAATTTTTCCTCTGGTCACTTTTGCGGTATGAGGTTTGGCGTAACAATATCACTTTCTTCCGATTGATCAAAGAAGGCTGTTTCTGGATGAGTGCTGCTTGTACTCGTCGAAGCTGCTCACAATACAAGATAACAGTGATGGTTTGACCCCTTTCCAAAATTTCATAATGGACAATTCCAGTTGCTGTCTACCAAACACACAACAAAACCTTGTTTGGGTGCAAGGAAGCCTTTAGCGTGTGTGGTACTGAATCAGTAGGCGACAACCATTGATAGGAACGCTTAAAATTTGAATACAGGATCCATTTTTCGTCGCAGGTTGATAACCGATTAAGAAATGGTTCATTAGCGTTGTGTGGAATGTTTGCTGAACAAACGGTACGACGACTTTATCATTTGTCAGTTCATGTGGGACCCATTTGCTCAACTTTCACGACTTTCTTGGCTGATGAAGATGGTAACGAATAGTTTCAGGACTCACTCTGAACATTTTTGCAAGTTCATGGCACGTTGTCGTGGAATTTGCGTCCATAACCTGTCGAAGATTCTCGTTGTCCGTAATCTTTGGTCTTATTCGTCGCCATTTTCTATTATTAAAACTACGTATGCAACAATTTTCAACAACTTTTTATGTGTGTGACAAAAGAAGGATTCATACTAAAGTGACAACAGGTAATAAACAATCGTTGTCGATCAACAACATCCATGGCAATGTGCGATATACAGCAACCGCACGAACTTATTTGGTTACCTGATATTAACGATTGATTGCTGGGATAATTTTGATTGCGTTAAAGAAGCTATTGTTTTGACGTAATATTTGATTTCATCTATAAAAAACATATATTTGATTTTCCTTAAAATTAATTTCATTAACTCAAAAACTTTTGAAAAAAAGTTGTCTGAACCGTATATCAGAAAAACTCATCGAAGAAACTCCTTAGCAATGTAGTAATATACAGGGTATTGTATTTTAAATTTTGAGAAGAGGTACAGGTCGCGTTTTGAGATACTCTGTATAAACAGAAAGAAATTTCATCACGTTTCCCAGATCAGCTTCAAATCGATGATAATAATTTTATTTGAACTAAGGTTTATCTAACAATCTGAACTATTGACAATCGCATCCATATGTTATATGATGTAAAACTTCTTGCTATTAGAAGCTCTTTGAATACGCAATAAGTCTAGGTAGTTCTATTGTTTGCCTATATATATATAGGTGAAAAATTAAAGCTTCCGCCTTTTGTTGGGTACTTCGACAAAATTTAAGCAAAGAACACTCGTTATACTTTTTTTAATTCTCACTAGCTTTCAATGGACTTTGCCATCATCATCAGGAGCTGCAATTACAATGATAACAGTAGCAACAAAAGTGTAAAATGTATTTAAATTGACTCAACTTACAGTAGTATGTGAGGATGTTGCTAATTGTTGTTTTCGTATAGGATGAGGGAAACGTCCAGTAACATGGTGAGAGCTGGATACATGGTACAATGGTTAAAATTATATAAAATATGACAAGACAAGTTAAAGACAGATTAAAAATTATTTAGAAAACATTAGAGCATTACGTCGTGAAGCCACTTGATGATTGCACAAAATGGTGGTCATGGAATAATGAGTGAGATGAACCTTTGACAGAAGGCCGAAGGTTGTCAATGTCTGTGTTGAAAGATGGAACGAATTGTGGGCGTGTGCCAAAACGTTGCCAAATCACTTCAGATGATGTGATTTTCAGAATGTTATGTAAGAAATTGTTAAACCGACCAGAGGCAGTTGAATAAACTATATTTTAATTAATGGGAATTTTAAATTAACAATTATTGATAATTCCCATTAATTAAAATATAGTTTATTAATTATTAATAATTGTTAATTTAAAATTCTCATTAATTAAAATATAGTTTATTCAACTGCCTCTGGTCGGTTTAACAATTTCTTACATAACATTCTGAAAATCACATCATCTGAAGTGATTTGGCGACGTTTTGGCACACGCCCACAATTCGTTCCATCTTTCAACACAGACATTGACAACCTTCGACTTTCTGTCAAAGGTTCATCTCACTCATTATTCCATGACCACCATTTTGTGCAATCATCAAGTGGCTTCACGACGTAATGCTCTGTTTTCTAAATAATTTTTAATCTGTCTTTAACTAGTCTTGTCATATTTTATATAATTTTAACCATTGTACCATGTATCCAGCTCTCACCATGTTACTGGACGTTTCCCTCATCCTATACGAAAACAACAATTAGCGACATCCTCACATACTACTGCAAGTTCATTCAATTTAAATTGATTTTACACTTTTGTTGCTACTGTTATCATTGTAATTGCAGCTCCTGATGATGATGACAAAGTCCATTGAAAGCTAGAGAGAATTAAAAAAGTATAAAGAGTCCTCTTTGCTCAAATTTTGTCGAAGTACCCAACAAAAGGCGGAAGCTTTAATATTTCACCTAACTGGTTTAGACGACAATGACCACGTCTCAAGTTATATATATGTATATATATATATAAATTATTTGAAACTATGTAATATATCAACATATTTTTTATACCTTTTCCACGTTGGTCGTAAAGCTACTTTCCATTTTTTCGGGACAACAGCATGATAAACCATATTTTTGCGATTACCCTCGTATGTACCTATCTTAGCTTACAAGCTTTGGAATCTGGAAAATCTATTTCGAACTTAAATTTTACATCTCACTGTCTAGGTTACAAAATAGTATATTTCTTACTTTCTGTTCAACTAAAAACGTTCCAAAGGGAACAAAAGAATTCTAATCACAAAGAAAGTAAGCAGTATCTTTTTTAATGTACCGTGTATACAAAACTCTTATAAAACGAGGACTAAGAGTCACATTTACAGGCTTTTCTTAAGGACTGATTGCCGTTTGAGGGAGGATCTAACATTTGCGTTTCACAACTGTTGTCATCGAAGATTTTTACAACCTAGGGCTCCAAATTTGACCCACACCATTTTATTCTCGGAAACCGTAATAAATACTAAGCCGCTTGGATGGGGGCAAAGTTGCGTATTTAGGTAGTCGGTAAAATACTGCTTAGAAAGTTTCGAAATTCAAAGTGCCGCCGGAGAAGGACGGAAAAACGGAATTTTCCCAGAATCGTTGTAGATTTTCCTTGCTTTATTTGTAGTGCGATTTCAGGATAAATTGAACATTAACATTGCCACTTTCTCATCTCTAGAAGAAGACATAATTATAGTTTTAATATGACATTTCGTCTTCCTTCGGCATCAACTTTATTTTTTCTTATCGATGCTATATTGGATTTTTACACAGATGAATAGAAATTCAAAAATGTATAAATACGTCATACATTCACATTACTATACCTGTTATTTAAAAAAGCAGAATATCCTACAATAATATTTATTTTATATGGGATTTCAAGATAAATTGCACGCCACATTTGAATTTTGTACATTTGAATGGACTTTTCAGTCCTAAATTCGGTGATTGTTTTCCTTAAATTTTCCATAAATTTGTTGTTGTATGAAAATCATCAGGAAAGGAAATGAGGAAAAGGTATGATGAAACCTTAACACAAAATGAACATTTTATTAATGGTAATAGCAGTAATCATAAATACGCAAAGTTAAATCATAGCAGATATTTGAAATGGTGTCCGTTATTTTGTAGGCAAAGTCTGACTCTTCTCTGTATATTGTTCATCGCTCGATTTATTTATCTGCCTCTCGGGTCGCGAAACTCTTTTGCTACGTTCAGCTTGACCTCTGGTCTGATATACGGAACAAATAAAATCTGATAATTTCAAATCCTATATCGGGACTAATAATAAATCAGGAAAATATTTTCCTCTGCACAAAAATCCAATATGCCGCCCATAAGAAAAACAAAATTAATACTGGAGGACAGGAGACGAAACGTCATATTGAAATTCTAATTCTGACATGTTGAACAGGAGATAAAGTGGCAACGTAAATGCGTAATTTATTATGAAATGCCACTACAGGTGCAAATGAAGTAAAAAAAATAAACCGATTCTGGGCAAATTCGGTTTTTTCGTCTCTATCCTCTTTGGATTCGAAACT